TCCCCACAAACCCTAGAAATAAAACTACTCGCACATATTTAAATCTAAACTAAGCAAGACAATTAAAGAAAACATAATCAAAAGTAATAATTAAAATAAGAAGAATAATAGTATTGAAATAAACTAATGAATCTTGATATATATGAAAAGAAAACTAAACTAAATTAAAAAAGGGAAGGAAACTAATACTACCCCCCGTAAAAACCTCCTGTAACTAGTACCACTCCTTCTCTTATAAAGAAAAGGAATCCTATTAAAAGTCCACTAAGAAAAGTAAACCTAGCTTCACTAAAACTAATGATAAACCTGCCAAAATAAATCTAGTAATCAAAGTCCCTAAGCAGCCCAACAATCACGTGCATTCCCACGATGATGATACCAAGATTACAAAATATATTGCTATGATTTTGACAGCCCAGAATGAACCTCACCCAATTAGGCCCGGCAACAGTATAAGATATTATTTGGGCTTCTTTCTTTGACTTGAGCTCTTTAACCCTTCATTTGCTTGATCGGTTGGTCCATATTCCATACACTAAGCTTTTAAATCTTAGACTTCTTTACAAGTCGAGCCCTTAATCACCTAATCAAAATTAATTAGCTCGACCTTGGGCTTTAAACATACGGTCATAAAATACGATCCGACTTTAATGTTTTCGTAGTGGCTCAATAAGCTCGAGAATTATCATAATTCTACAAATTCCTGCAAAATAACACCAACCCTACAAAAACACTAGAAAACGTATCTTAGTAATAAAAAATAGCTTCGTATAGCTCAAATAAGCACAAATATGACCTTGGGATGGGGAATAAAAATATATATAAAATAGACTTATCAATTAACTGATCGATCCTCGGCAAAGGATAGAAGTCCTTCGGACAAGCCCTATTTAGGTCCGTGAAGTCAACGCACATTCTCCAGGTGCCATTTGCCTTCTGAACCATCACCACATTGGCCAGCCATTCCGGATATTGACAGGGTTCATCTGCATCCAAAAGTTTTTTAACTTCGGCTGCGATGTCTCGGTTCTTATTAGCGGAGTAATTCCACTTCTTCAGCTTAACCGACCGACAGGTGGGGTCGACGTTCAGCTTGTGGGAGATGAGGTTTGGATCAATCCTAGGCATGTCTGCTGCTGAGAAAGCGAACACATCTCTATTGTCCCGAAGGAGTTGGATAAGTTCAACCCGAATGTTCGAATGGAATCTGAGGCCGATGCTAACACATTTTTTTGGGTATCCTTCGGTCAATTTAATTGACTCAGTCTGCTAGTCAAGTTTCATTTCTTTGGATAGCTTGAGGTAGTTGCATATTCGGGTAGTCACTTGGCTTCCCTGAATTCTTTCAAAGTGGCCTTCGTGAGAAACATATATCATCATTTGATGGTACGTGGAGATCACTCCTTGAATCTGATGGATCATGGGTCTCCCCATGATCACATTATAAACAGATGGAACGTACATGACCAAAAACACGGCCATCACGTTCTGAGATGCTCGATCTCTGTCGATGGTGATGGGAAGTATGATTTTCACATCTGAATATGTTGTAGAACCGTTAAATCCAGATAACGGGTAGGGTATTGGACTTAGGTCCTTAGATTGTAGCTTCAGTTGGTTGAAAGCATCCCAAAAAAGGATGTGTGCTCCGCTGTCACTGTCGACGAGGGTTCTCCAGACGTTGTGGTTAGCGATCCCCATGATGATTACCAGCGTATCATCATGGGGTATGCCCCCCCCCCGGTGGCAGTCTTCGGCTTTGAACGTAATGTTCGGCACCAGAGACTTTAGACTTTGGATGGAGGCATGGTTGACTTGATGGTTCAGTCCCCTCAAGTGACGTTTTCGAGCATTTCGGGAGCTCGTCCCCCTAAAAATGACAGGAATGTCGGGATGCTCTTTATCCCGCAGCTTTTCTTTTTTCCGGTTGAAATCCAGTTGTTGTCGAGAGTCTTGCTCGGCTTTCTTCTCCTTGCGACGATCCGCGATATATTTTTTCAGGTGACCCTTTCAGACCATATCTTTAATCTGATCTCTCAGCTAGATATAATCCTTGGTGTGATGTCTAGGAGACTCATGGAACTCACACCATCGGTCTTTATTCTTCTGCTTATGCCACGATGGTAGTGGCGTCGGCCTTTTCCACTTCTGCTCGTCCTTCGTTATGCTATAAATTTTAGCACGTGGAAGACCAAGAGGAGTGCAAGATTCATATTTCCCTACGAATAGGGTTTTCTCTTTCTTCAGCTCAGCTACTGAGGATGGTTCTGAGTCTTTTGCCTTCCCTTTCCTCTGGCCCTGACCTTTAGACTGTTGTCCTTTTGCCTTACCAGTCCCAGTTTGAGATTAGAACTTGGTTTTCTTCCATTCCTCGGCTCGAATACACTTGTCCGAAGCTTCAAGGGCTTCCTCCAAGGTCTGCGGAGTGTGCATGACCATGAAAGCAAGAAACTTTCTAGATTACAACCCATTCTGCAGCGCGAAAACGGCTAACTCTTGGTCCAGACTTGTAATTCTGGACGACTCATTGCTGAAGTCAGTCAGATAGTCTCGAGGGCTTTTTTCCTCCCCTTGCTGCAGGCTCATCAGCTCAGCGGTTGTTTTCTCTCAGCGGTTTTCCGTAGAAAACTTGCTCTTGAACTTGTTAGAAAGGTCCTTCCAACCGTTTATCGAACCTTCCTTTACTCCTTTAGAGATCCACGCTTGTGTAACACCCTTTAGAGCGGTTGGGAAGTATTTTCACCAGGTCGTTTCGGGCCTGGGGTTCAAGCACATGTGCCCCTCGTAGGAGGCGATGTGGTCCTTCGGATACAAAGTACCATTATATGTGATGTATGCCGGGATTTCGACCGTCGGCACATGCTCTTCCAGAATCCAGCTCTGAAATGGGGAACTAGTGGGAACCATCATGACTTTCCCCTTGTATCCAGCTGATGGGACCTCGCTTCCCCCCTCTTAGAGAGGTAGAAGTGATTTTCGTACTCGACTGGGACGGTGCAGGGTCAGGCGCGGTTCCCTCGGGTAGGTGAGGCGGCTGTGCTGTGCACACTCCCCTCCCCCAAACCGATACGTTCGTGAACGTTTCGGCAAGCAAGCTCCAATCGCGTGGATGCGATGTTGCTGCTCTTGAGGCTTCGGGGTTCGGAATCCTCAAAGAACTGGGGATTTCTTTTTCTTTCCCACTCTGTTCTCCAAGTATCTTCTTCCCAGTGCTCGAGTTTCTTGAAGGATGGAACCTGTCCTCCTTCCTCCGGCCCGATTCTCCTTCTCAGGTGCCTCGGTTGGTCAATGGTGTCAGTATGCACCGAGGGAGCCGGAAGTGGGAGATGTTGATTCGCGTGAGCCTTTATGAAGTCCATGAAGGTAGCGAGGGCTCTTGCCATTTCCTCCGAAGTGGGTCCCGTTTGGGGCGTCCTCATTGGACGAGATTGGGAATGGCGGCTAGGAGTAGAACTCTTAGCGTTTTACCGGCTCGATCGCCAAGAGTTGGACGGGCGACCCATGTTGCGAGGTGACCTATCCGAAGCAGCATTCCTCGACGAGGTAGCCTCGGAAGATGACAAAGAAGGTGGTCCCTCCTTCGAGGGTGAAGATGGAATTGGGTCTTTCTTCGAAGAAGAAGGACCATTCTTTTTGGTGCTCTTGGCACTCTTTCCGCTCTTAGTCATGTTGCTAAGATGGTAGATTTTTGGCTTGTTTTTGAATGTCTTCCCCACAGACGGTGCCAAATTATTTTGTGTGAAAACAACGGGTCCTTCGTCTGGACCTTTCTAGTGGGATGAAGATTGGACTCGACCCAAATGATGACTGGGACGAGGGTTTCCTGCACAGCGAACCCACGTAAATTGACCTCGGGGGTTATGCCTAGGAAGGCCCCTCCAATGCTGAAGTTAGTACAGTGTTTAGAGAGAGAAAGATATGCAAAAGAGTTAATGCTTGAGGCTTAAAGTGAATGAATTGAGAGAGAGAGAGAAGTCAAGGTTTTTATACCTTACTCAAATAGATAAATTGGGCCTTGAGGTCAGATAGGCTTGCCATGTTGACCGGGCCCTTGACTAACTTAGCATGTATTAGGAGAGTGAACCTTCTTTTGGGCTTTGTAATTGAATCATTTGTAGACCAGCCCAGTTAGAGTAGATTGGACCCAATCATTTCTAAATTTTGGTTAATAAAACACTTAAAAATTGACATTCATGCATCTATTTCTAAAAGGACCTAAAAAAACAAAGGGTTCGACAATTTAATTTTGCTAATTAGGTTTCAAGCTAAGGACAATCATCTACTAATATTTTAAAACTTAATTCAATTTGTAAAAAATAAATAAATTGATACTACCTAGTACAAACGTGAAGGTTTTCAATAAATATGTAGATGTGTGTTCCTAACTCGCTCTAAGAATCATTTTTGGTTTTCAGCTACTTCCTCCGTCTTTAAATAATTAGCATGTTTAACTTTTGTTTTCACTATAAATTTGACCATGGGTTATTAGTAATGTATAAAAGTAAATGTTATCATGAAATACATTGTTAAAGAGGTATTAATATAAAGTTTCATAATGTCAAGTTATTTTTCTTTTACTAATATTTAATTAATATATCTAAGGTTAAATTAGTGTATTGGTAATTTGGTATGTGTGTCAAGTTTAACATTATCGATTATTTAAAAACAGATAGAGTATCAGATTAAAAGATTCAAGAAAACAAAGAGTGGATATGATGAACCGGATATCCTGTTTGAAGGCTAGAATAACGCTGAAAGGAACACACTGGACTTGGTGGACCGCAAAAGGCTCAAACTTCCAAAATTGGTTGGATCCAACTTCCTTAGCAAAAGGCCCAACTTCTAAATTCCTTTTTTTATTGAATTTAGTGTCGGTTTGTTTATTTGGTGTTCTGCAAGGGATTTAGTTTAATTAGGGTTTGTTTGGCAATTTCCTTGTTTATTTGTTGTTAATTATTTATTTAAATTTACCAAGATGATTTAGATTAGGGTATTCATCAATGGCGGGTGGGGATTTTGTGCCTCGAAACATCGCCGGCTTGAATGTTTTCAAGGGAATTGCTTATGGACCTGCTAAATATCTATCAAAACGTAGACAGCGTCACCGTATGATGACCCAACAAGAAATGGATAATTATAATGACAAGGTTACCCAAACCATGGGTTTTGACGTCGACGGCTGTACCGGCTCTTTGTACGGCCGCATTATACCCATTCCCCGTCCCTCCGAGGATTGGGAATGTGTTACTATTGTTGCTGAATACGCAGTTGAGAAACATTTTGAAGATGGGCCACGTAATTATACTACTATCTCCGTTTCTTATTATTCGCAACAAAAGGGTATTATTTGTGAGACATAAAAGATTTATTTGTTGCAAATCATAAGAAACGGAGGAAGTATATTGTCATTAAATTGGTATGTGGAAAATTGATTCATGAATCATGATTGATGTCAATAATTATTATTGGTAGGGAAAGCGTTTGAAATTTGTATCTCTCGATAAAGCCATCCATCAGCCGGCTTCTGGGACGATGTATTACGTTACGTTTACTGCCACGGTTACCACTGATGGATGCGCAAAAATCTACCGTTCTAAGGTGTGGCATAAGGCTGGTCTTCAAGGTCTACAATTGATGTCCTTTGAGGAATATAAACCACTTACTCCGTCTCTTAAGGGATCATCAAAGGCTAAAAAGGGAAAATCTGTGCTGTAAGATCGATCCATCTCTAACCTATTAATTAATATTTTTAATGCATGTTTGTGAAACATTAAAAATCCATTTGTTGTAATTAATAAGAAATGGATCGGAGGTACTTAAAAATACTTCGTATTACTATACTGGGTGCTGACTATATGGCATTTTTTGGATGGCCAGGCTAGTGCTGGTGGTGCTCTCATTGCTTTCACTGCCTTGGTGTATGCCTATGTTCTAAATCTTCTCTCTTTAACTATTCGCTTCGTAGAGTTTCTCTAATTTTTTGCTTCTTTTTTTTTTTTTTTTTTTTTTTTTTTTTTTTTTTTTGTCTACTTGATTTTAAAGGAAGAAGATAAAGAGTGAGAATCCTTCTTTGACACACGCTATGGTTAGTCGTATGTGTTACACTTAGCTTTAATTTGGTGTATGTGACAGTTAATTACTTTTCTTTAACTTGTTTCCGAATGTCACTCATTATGTTGCGATGATTCATCACGCTAGAAACGCTGCTTCAAACAAGTGGAAACTGTTGCCAGATTCCGTAAGTATTCATATATTCCATGATTTTTTTATGGCTGCGTTTTGTTCAACAATTGAGTATTGTTACGTATGTATATATTTTGTTGATTGATTATCCTCATGTTCTTAGGAGAAGCAATCTCTCATATCTGACCAAGCTTGAAGTCAAACCTTGTGTGGTTAGCACAGCCTTCAAAGAGTACTTTTTTTTTTTTTTTTTTTTTAATGATACATTGCTATAGTGTATGATGCAACATACATTTATGCAACTAGTGTGATACCAGCAGTTTATCAGTATATGTATCCTAGAACAGTTGTTTGCTCTTCGTAAACGTCAATTTCTGGGACAGAATCGATCTCATGGAATCGAGAGAATAGCTCTAACCAAATGAGCTATTCCTTACTCTATGAGATATTCATAGTGTGCTTGTATATACTCGTATATTATAGCACAAATCATCAGTACTTCATTTATGGACAATGTGGTCTTGTCATGTTGTTATTTTTTGGTTTTTGTTTTTGTTTTAGGATCATGAGATTTTCACGCAGCACAAAAACAAACAAGAATCTGAGATAAGTTGACTTGGAACATTTTGGATTTTCATTGTTTTGGTTCTATACTTCTATAGTTCTATGCAAGAAAATTGGGGAAACAAAAAAAAAAAATAGAAAATTGGAAGGGTAAGCCAAAGGGTAGTTGGGGAGAAGAGGAAAATACAGAGACAAGGAGAAGGGAGGTAAATATGATTTTGCCAACAACACCATCATTAATTCATTACTCATATACTCTGTAAATTGGTTATGATCATAAAGTTATCTAGTTGGTTTATTTGTACTGTAATTAAATTTGCCAATAACGCACTCCTCAAATTTACAACATTCACCCCACAAAAAAAAATAAAATAAAAAATAAATTAAAAAATTACAACATTCACAAGAGATTGTTGAAAAGATATGTGATCCACGTCAACACTATGCTTTTAATTTACTAAGTATTATCATTATAAATTGAGGAAAAATATTGTTCTAGTAACAATATTATTAATATAATTGGCAACAATCATAATGCGTGACTTGGAAAAATCATTGCCCTAATTTAGTTAACCTTTCCCTTTATGAAATGATCGAATTATGATTCCTCCCCATTAACTTTTGGAATGATAAGCTAGACGAATTGAATTACATACGTAAGGGTGTGTTAGCTCTCTTCTCGAGGGATATGCCTAAGGTAACACTTTATAATTTGATATCAACTGGGCTATAAATTGCCGTGAGCATATATGAATTGCACGAGAAATGGATTAATATTTAATACGCAATACAAACTTGCAAGTCGCAACTAATTATCCTATGTAGCAACTTATAACAATGAATGTGTTTTTAATCCCAATCTTATTATGTTATTCATATGAATCGGATATGACCAGAAAGATTACGGAAAAGATATGCCAGCAGGCAATCGACGTCAGCGCTACTGAGTATTCAGTATAAATTGAGAAAGGTTATTGTTATATTAACAGTATTTTAATATAATTGGCAACAATAATATTGCGTGACTTGGAAAAACCATTGCCCTAATTTAATTAAACTTTCCTTTATGAAATATATTTATGAGATATTTATGACATAATATATCATAATCTATTCTGTTATATACTTATATCAAATCTTATATTTCCTAATTTATTTACCGCGTTAAATGGAAGTCTTAGCTTGTTCCCTAAGCGCACAGCTCTTATAAATATAAGCTTATGCTACGTTTTTTATTTTATTGAACACTTGTATTAATTGTTTGTTATTGATTTTATTAGCAAAACTATGTCAATGGCGGAAGAAAGTGAAGTGAAATCAAAACCACTAGGCAAAAGAAAAATCGCAATTGAGAAAATAGAAGACAAAGCAAGGAAACAAGTTACGTTCACGAAACGAAGGAAGGGTGTTTTCAAGAAGGCTAGTGAATTATGCACCTTATGTAACGCAGAAGTCGCGGTCCTTACATTCTCTGGCGCGGGTAAAGTCTTTTCTTTTGGCCATCCAAGTGCTGATGAAGTCATCAATAGGTACATTAATGGTTCAAAGTCATCGTCTTCGTCGTTGTCGTTAGACTCGTCAAGTGTTACAAACGAGCATGTAGGCAAAGAGAAGTTATTGCACGGTGCAACATGTAGTGATGAGCAAGATTTGTGTTGGTGGCAAAAGCCTGTTGAAGGGTTAGGGTTGGAAGAACTTGAGAAAATTATGACTTCTTTAATTGAATTAATGAATAATGTTGCATCTAAAATTGGTAATTGTTGGAGTAACAATAATAATGTTGGTTCTTCGGCAAATACTCCAAAGTCTGGTTTAGATCTTAACGAGGCATACAGTCCAAAGAGCAATGGAGCTGATGAGTAGTTTGTAAAAAAATTCACGATTCAATTTCGTTGCATAAGCGTATTTTTAGTTTGATTTTATCTTCTTTTCGTTTTCATATGATTGATTAATAGCATGTTCAAAGTTGTGATTTTACAGACATTCGAAAATTTGGGGTCTTGTAATGTACTCCGTAATAATTAATTACTTCTATATGTGATTTATTGATTTTTTTTTTTTTATTTATTTATTTTTTTGTATTTTTTTTGGTGTTTAGGAAGCCATAAGAGGGAGTAATGAAAATTGATCCCAAAATCTCTTAGAATCAAGGAAGCTCTAACCACTCAAGCTATTCCCCACATCATTGATTGATTTAAATTTGAGATAGGAAATCCTTAACTTTAATTTAGAAGTTTTTGTTTTGTTATTAATATTTGACTATCTACTAAGTAATAAAATCAAGGTAAGAAGTTAATTTTATACTTTGGACTTTAATAATCTAAGCCCAAATTCAGTTAGTCCATTCCCTAATTAAGGACCACAAGATCCATAGCTTTATAAACATTTTATTTGGAAAGGACCCACTATTATTTTATAATTTTTTTTGCTAATATTAAATTTAGAATGTATGACTTATTGAGAAAATAACACTATTGTAATATACTTTTAACACCTCGACTAATTTTTACCCCGACTAATTTTGCAACCGCTTAATTTCTCACAAACTAATTAAGGAAATTAAGCTAAGAATGGACCATGATCACTCCCCAATTCACAACACTATGAATAAATGAATTTGTCCTTGAAAGTAAGAGTCTGCAACAAGGTAAACTAATATTCTACGTATATATACAGCTACTTTTTGTCCAATTGAATCACATTTAGCATGATAGTATGATAAACTCTTAAATCCCAAAAAAAGAAAAATATGCATAAATAAAAGGGTAGAAGAATTTATTAAAAGGCAATAAATGATGGTTTGGTGCATACAGTAAAAGATGTTGATTGATCACTTCTACTACTTCAACAGTACATTATTCATCCGAGGAGACATATATAAAATTGATCATCTTCATATATATTTTCATATTTGTAAATTTATTTTACAAAAAAATCTTAAACTTTTTCTTTAAAAGTCTCAAATTTACACTCAACAGCATTCCCTTTGTCCCTCTTTCAGTTTCTCTAAGGTCACCTTTCAAACTATTTATATATAAATAAATGGTCCCGCCCTTTAAACTCAACCTTATGACCTAAACCCATATATACGGCCTTTAACCTCTTATGGCTTGACTTAATCATTTTTCTCTTGCTTATCTTTCGTTTTCGCGATTAATATTTCCAACAACGAACAAAACATATACTCAATAACTAGTACGAGTTGAGCAAGGAAGATGAGGGTTGGTTTGTTATTGCTTCTTGTTCTAATCTTGCTTCTTACTCGTGATAGGGGTGTTCTTGTGTCGGCGGCTCGTTCCATTATTTTTTCTAGTGAAAGTAGTAAGGAAAATAATGAATTTAGAGTTGATCAACATTCGGAAAAGAAGTTCAAGTCCAAGTCTAAGTCCGAGGAAGATAATGTTGTAATGGATGATAATTTTGTTGGAAATGTTACGGGTTTGGATGATAAACGGCTTGTTCCAACTGGCTCAAATCCATTGCAATAATAGGTAAATTAAGATATGATTTTAGGGCATGTAATAAGGCTTATTATATTGTTTAATATGAGTGTTATTCATTTTAATTTCATCGTGTAGAAATGTTTTGAGGTTTTTAACTTAATTAGTTGTATTTTATTTTTATTTTATTTTATTTTTTTGAATAGTTAGTTGTATTTAGCTTAAGTAGTGAAGTAGTCTATTGTTTTTTTCTCACTTTTTTTTTTTTTTTTTTTTTTTTTTTTTTTTTGTGATTGTTGCTAATTTGCTATATATGAAGCTGAAAGTTTTATGTATGATGATCATCATTCTTTAGATCTCTATTCTTTCTTCAATTCCTTTTGCTAATTTCTTTAAAGTTTTATATATGATGATCATCAATTCATCATTCTTTAGATCTCTATTCTTTCTTCAATTCCTTTATTTTGCTAATTTCTTTGTGTGGGTGAGCTTTAATTTTCGCAAGGTTATTTTTTGATATTCGATCTTGTCATTTATATGATCATATTGGGTTTTCCATGCCACATAATGGGATTTTTCGGAATATTAAAATATGAGATTGAATAATTTTGCTCATCTCTGAGATGAGGTTATCATGACTATATCGGTTTTTGTGTATAAGAATCAATTAGTTTTTTTTTTTCCTTTGCTTATAACTTTACAAGATGTTAAATTCATACATAAACATAAGAGCCTTATATTACTTATTCCTGAAATTTGTATTTTTGGTTGTTCAAGCTGAATTCTAAGAATTAAAGATAGTAAGTAGTCTTTTAATAAGTTCCCTATTATGCTACTACTATCATATGCACTAGAATATGCTACTATGTAACTAGTTGTTTAGAGAATTCCAATATTTATTTTAGAAGTACAATGTAACTAGTTGTTTAGAGAATCCCTTGTTGGAGAATTTTAATTAACCTTCCGTTTACATCTAGTTTGATTGTTTTATCCTCGTATTTCCATACAGTCAAACTTACCATTGCTCAACTTTTATTTGCTCATGCAAAACAAACCTTCAATCACAATGGAATAATGAAAGTAATTATCTTGATTCGTGAAATTAAATTGTAAGGAGATAATCCGTACTACGTCTGTTGTTATTTCGTATCAGATTATAACTATACCAACATGAACAACCAATATTAATCATATTTACACGTTTGAAAATTGAATCAACCGATCGAAATCCAAGACATTTTGGCATTATGCAACTTGGAAGAATGTTGATGTTCTCAACAGTATGAGGCAATTGCATTGATTGTATTATGATGCAAAATAGGGAAAATAGAGCATTTAATATGGAGGTCAGAAACTCAGGGATTCTTGAACAGGGATTGCTCGTCACTTTATACATGTAATGTATATGCATGATGTTGTACCTACATTTAGTTATTACACCGCAAAGCTGTTACACATTGACCTTGACTTAATTGCCTGACAACTCTCACTTTCTTTGAGTCTTCTCTTGGCATGCCCAAAGTCTTTACTCTTGCCTCTTTTTTCACTCTCTTGCTTTTGTGTTGGAATGTGTAGTTCTCCAATGTACAACTACCACATTCTATTAAAGTGTATCAATAAGTTGAGGAGGCCAGGGTCCGTCGTGTACATAAGTTATGGGTTTGAAATCTCCCTACCCTATTTGTAATTGATAATGCCTTCATAGCTCATTTCGATGGATTTTGCAAGGTTTTGATCATTGTTCTTGTAATTTGATTGAATATCATAACAAATGTGTCATTTACTTTAGTAATTTTGCCAATTTTACATTTTTATTATTGCATAGTCTAGGCCATTACCATCATTTCTTGAATTTCCGAGATAAACATGACTTATGATGAGTTGGTGTGCGTAAAGATCCAAACTATCATCATGTCATATTATATGTCAAAGATGTCTGTTTACATTGCATTGTTATAGACTAAAATAGACCATAGAGTAACTCTCATACATATGTCAAAAACTCCAATCAGAAAGAAAATACAAATACTCACTTGAGATTATAGGAATGTACTTGGAGAATACTATCTTGTCATATATGTACAAGATTGTAGATTTGTTGTTAAGGTACATACTTAAGACCTTAACTAGGTTGTGGGATTGAAGGACTTTTTTTCTTCTTTTTTTTAGAAGTAATTCTCACAATTAATATATAATGATCAAGTTATAATTTAAAAATTCAATTCTCAAAATTTCTACCTATCCAATATCATGTTTAAAGAGCCTAAGATTAACTCAATCATGTGTTACTCGAGAGCAAACATCATGTAATGAATAAAAAATAATGCATTGGTTTAAGAAAAAAGGTATAATTCCCCTCCAATATACTATTACATGTTGCTTTTCTTTAATACTCAATTCATTTCTAAATGTTGTTTCCACTTTGACATTTGTGAGATAAAAACAATTAAATTCAAAGTAGGAACATCGTTCAAAGACCGGGAGTATTACAATTTACAAATTTTTATTTTATTTTTTTATTTTTTATTCTACATAAAGTGATGCACAGATATTAGCTAGGTTAATTTTTGTATAGTATAGTTTGTATATTTAAAATTGGGAGTCAATAATAATGTGTTGTCACTTTCTACACCCTTAATGAAGTTAATGTTATGTGTATTGAAGTATAAAGGTAAGTTCAGAGAGCATAGGGCTAAGCAAGGAGACACACAGAGGTTGAACAAGGGCAACAAACTGCCATGATTTAAATGATTTATGTATCATTGTGCTACCTGCCTTTAATTTTTCCTCTTTGTAGGCTGCCACTAGTTTTATTGGTTTTGCTCTGATCTTGGCAGTGCTTCTTATCATACATTGATACATAAATGATCTTGTTCAGTTTACATGTCCATTAAAAAAGAAAAGAGGATGTTTACATATTTCACCCCTCATTTGGTATGATATGGTTGGTATAAGAATGATATTTTATTTATTATATCCCTAGAATAAGTTTCTTCATCCCTTTTGAATCAAAGATCTCAGGATGTTTTCATATTTCACATAGGACGTGTGAAGAAGATGACATATGACGTTGTACAAATCGTTCTATGTACGTTGTATAAGTCCCTTATGAAGATAGTGCGTCCCTAATGAAGTAATCCTAAAACAAACTTGTATTAAGTTTATCCCAAGGGTTTTCAGATATTTTGCTTGGAACCAGCCTTCTCGCGCCATGGAATTTATATGTTGATACGACACTTTGGATTAGCAATGTTGTTTGCACGGTTAATCGATGCTAAGTTGGTTTATGAGAATGAGCCTGTTGTTTGGGTGGTTCCGGTACTGAGATAACTCCTTATCATTAAAAGCAGAAGGCATTACTTTTTAAAATGAAATAATATAGAGACAAGCTTGATAAAAAAAAAAATACAGCAAACCAGGTTTGCCATGACAAATATAGATACGGGCTACAGCAAACCAGGTTTGCCATGACAAATATAGATACGGGCTACAGCAAACCAGGTTTGCCATGACAAATATAGAAACGGGCAAGTTATCCTACAATATGCCACTGTCATCAGCTAAATAACTAGTAGTTACAATCCAAGTCAGAAACTAGATTGTGGCACCTGCTAAGAATCAGAAAAACAATGAGCTAGTAGTCAGAAACTAAATTCTAGATAAGAAGCAACACTTCAGAGTAACAAACAAACTCCCAACTTGTCACGGAGAAGTGACTTTGCTCCTGATTCTGCTTGAGCGCCTGATTGGAGTCACCACTTCGTCATCTAGCTGTAAAGTTCATTAAAATGAAGCACTAGTTAGTAATTGTATGTACCAAAAATCAAAGCCACATTATGTTTATCAGTTTAATTGAGAACTTACTTGTTTGGAATGTACTATGCCGTAAGTGGTGAAACTACCATAAGATGAACCCATTGTGTATTCAGATGAAGAAGAAGCAAGAGACTCTCTCTTGTGATTCCTCCTAGAACTCTTTTCCACGCTTTGAGCTTCATCGCTACCCCTTGGGTCCGTCTTCTTGTAATAAGATGAGGTCTTTTGGAAGCTGCTCAACTCTGAGGGGCAGGACTCACCAATCATATCTACCTCAACTGGACCGCTGCAGGAAGATGGGTTCTCACGGACCTTAGGATCGATTTTCCTTGCTATGGGAACAAAAGATGAATTTTCCTTCTGCACGACATGAGCATCAGCTAAAGGTGTTGAAACTGCTGGAGTCTCTTTCTTTGACTTCTTCACAAAGTTAAAGGCTGCGGCAGCCAATAGAGACAAAACAACCAAGCTGACTGCTGCTGTAATTGGAGCCAAACTTCTCTCACTTGCCTCAAGAATCTGAGAAATTAAATCTGCACCTTCAACAACCAAACTTCTTGAAACTGATTGAACCTTAACCTCCTCGCTTTCCTCAGACAATAACTCAACATCACTAAATGGAACATTTGCTGTTGTAACTTGAGAGTGAACTTCAGGGTCAGGTGAGAATGAAGATGGTTGACCCTCAACCTTCAAATCACTTTGGGACTCATCGTGAACAGCAGAAGTTACAAGATAATGTTCTGCTTCCTGATTTTCAGGATCATCAAGCACTGATGATCCTTCAGTCATCTTGACAGCAGAATCCTTGTGCTCAAGCACATGTGTTTTTTCTAGTCTTTCTGGTTTGTCAGACAGTGATGCTTCTTCAGACATTTTGGCGATAGCATCATCCTCAGATACAGATTCCTCGAGCACAGAACTTTCTTCTGTGTTTTCGGGTTCATACTCCTCTATCACTTGGTCAATGATAGGAAGGCCAGAACTTTGTTCGAATACATCCGCCTCACAATCATGTAGCTTTATCAATTCTGTTTCATCCTCAAAGATGACAGTTTCAGCCGCTTTTTTCATTGCTGTATCTACTCCAACTTCCTTTCCCAACCAAGGCCTAAACTCAAAACCTTTTACCAAATAATCATTCTCAACCTCCTCTTCTTGCCAACCAGTTAAGTTACTAAATGGCAATGGACTAAACTTAATTTCTCTTTCCTTAGAAATCATTTGGGACAAGTAACCCACTGATTGAGCAGACAACACCTTGGCATTTAAGAAGAGCACATTGAAATTATCTTTGGCAAGATCAGCAGCTACCCGAGAATTGCTGTAAATCCGAGAAATAATCTTTTCCTGGTTTATAGCATTTCCATCTCCTGGATAATACATGGAAAAGGATATGGTGCCAAGCAGGATAAAAAATAGGAAAGTGACAGCTTTCCACTTCCCACTAAACCGAGTCCTCGGCTCAATTTTGGACTCAACAATTTCATCAAGCTCCTCATTTTTCGGGGAGCTTGATTCCGAAGATAAAGGCTCAGCTGAAGAAGAAGTTTCTTCTTGTACTTCCTGTGAAGTTTCTGACTGGACTTCATCACTATTCTCAGCCTCAGAAACTGAATCCGAACCAAAGTCATCTTCCAACCTTACACCTTGATTGATATAGCTTTCAATTCTAGGATTGGGTTTGTAGTGAAGGAATTGAGGCCTAGGGGAAAGAAAATTGGTTTTGGGATCATATGGTGAATGAAATGGGTCAGCATCAAGAGGAGCAATCACAGATGGTGAAGAAGAAATATTGTTTTTGATATCCAAACCCACATTATAATCAGCAACAACTTTAGGCATTTCACTTTGAGGTAAAATCTTAGGAGATTTTGTAGTGGACTTCAAGGGTATTTCAGGGCTGAGTACCACTAGATCAGATTCTGATTCAATCTTTCCTACTCCAGGACTTAAATCAGCAACTTTGTTCTCGAGTTCTGTGTTGGAGACCTCATTGCCCACTTTGTTAAAATCTGAAATCATTGAGAAAGGAGGAGTGCCCATGTCTGTTTTTGACTCATTTTCACCACTAAAATCCAATGAATTCGTCGAAAAGAAATGAAATTTCCCATCAGACAGAGAAGCAGAAGTGCGAATGGCTTCGTTTCGCTCTCCTAAGACTTTCTTCCTTGGCGATGGATTGATCTTCGAGGCTGCAGAGATTGTTGGTGACATGAAGTTCTTGGTTCCCTTTAAAACAGAAGGGGATCGAACTCGTGCAATCGGCCTCAAATTGGGATCTCTTTCATTCTCTTTTTGCTCATGATCTCCAATGCCAGCCCCACATTCTCTACCAAATGAACTTCTTCTAGCATACTCTATAATTTGGAAAAGTACTCAATATCATTCACCAAACCAACAAAAATTTTGTACTAAAAAAATAAACACAGATTATAAAATACCAAAAAACTGAAAATATGATCAATAATACAATCCCACATTTTCTACCACATGAACTACTTCTTACAAACTATGTAAGTTGGAAACGAACTCAAAACATTACTCAGCAAATCAAACAATAAATGCCAAAAGATATGAAGTATATAGATAAAGAATAATAAAATTGGAAAAATGATCAATACAACTAATCACGACCTATAGCAAAAAAAGTTACAATTCAATTGGGAATACTAATTAATCATGATGACAAATTGACAATAACAACAACAATGACAAAATCCGCTTCGAATCTAACCGAAGATAAGGTCTGTGATCAAAACAGCATTTACAACATCTTCATACAGCAATGTAATTAAAAAAGACGAAATTATAGAGCAATAAATCATGTTTTACAAAGGGTGTAAAATTAGAAAGAACTATAATTGTATAATACGGGAACTATAATTGTATTTCACCACAATTTCAATAATTAACCACAAAAACTTCACACTCAGAAGCTCCATCAAATTAGATGAACTCACAATAATTCAAATCACAAAAAATTGACCACTTCGTATTACAAGAAAAAAAAAATTAACAATCACAAAAACGCTTTAAAATCTAAATAACACAGTAATTAATTAGTTGACTGAGGAATCATTATTTATTCTAAAACAAATTTTAATAAAATAAAAGCAGAGAGATAGATAGATGGGGTTACCAGCAGGACTATTAACAGGGGTATTGGGGGTAAGAGTTCTGGGTTGAGTAGCAATGGAAGATTTAGCAAATGGGTATCCACTAAAACTCTTCCTAACACCAACCCCTTCTCGTTCTTGATCATTTCTTGAATTGGAATTAGGGTTAGGGTTAGGATTTGATCGTATTGAAATTGGGGATGGGGATCTATTTGAGGAACTAATCACCATTGATATTGAATTGGATTTGAATATTATTCAGATTTTCGATTGTTAATTTTGTTTTTGGCAAAGTTTGGATCTTTTTTGGAAGCGAATTTTGAGATTTTTGCTGTTTACAGAGGAGAAATTGGGAGAGGGAAGAACTGAGGAGTGTTTTGAGTAGTATAGTATAACGGCTAGTTTAGGAAGGTGGTGTTGGAATTTAAGTGGGTGGGTTTTTTTCGACCGTTGAAGTTGAGAAAAGATTTCGAATGTGATTTTGGGTTTAAAAGGTTGGAGCCGTTGGATGGTGTTATCATATGAAAATGGAAAGTTGAAAATATATGGAGTATAATAGTAATTGATTTTGTGACGAGATTGTAGGGTTTGTTAGCCGTTTTAAAATCTTTACATGTTGACCAAAAAACATAATACTAGTAGCATTTTTGTAATTGTGTTAGCAATGAGTTAAAGATTAATGTGGTACTAACTTTAAAGAGACAAAAATTGAAAGTTAGGTGATGTTAAGTTTTTGAAGGTTATGTTTGGTGTTAAAGATTAATGAGTTAAATGTCAGGTTTGGCGTTTCTAAATCTTAGTATACCTAACCTTTAAAAACCAGAACATGAAAATAAGCAACGTCTCTTAACAAGGAAATCTTTATCTACAGTGTTCGGACTATTTTGCCCCTAAAAAACAGTATAAGTACGTATTTGCCCGTGCCTTGGTTGGTCTGATTTTAACTTCTACTATATCCCTCTCCCAAATCCATTCCCAATCACATCTTCTTTGTTATTTTTTTTGTAACACTCAGAATTTAATTAGACATACAAAGATACAAAAAAAAAATGTTTTAAGGGTGTTGTTGATGGTTATAGTGCTCTAGTTGAGGTTTGTTCACCATACAATATGGCTGAAAATGCAATGATATGATTTTGATTAGGTTGGTAAAATTATAACCCGGTGTTAATTTTATATTTGACAACCTACTTTTTAATCTCTAATGGTAAGACTCAAACTCAAGTAAGGAAGGATCTTTATTGAGGCTTATAGGGCCTACACTTGCAATTTTATTGAGTTATTAGACATATAGACATAAAGCTTTATGTAAGAAGTCATGTCATATACGATTAGTGAATAAGTATTTTTTTATCAAGAGGTTGAAGGTTCAAGATCTATATCATATACGATTAGTGAATAAGTAATAAACCTTGGCTCCTATTACGTTTAGGTTCAAGATCTACCACTAAACTCAAGTGTCACGTGACAAGACTTTCATATGCATGAAAATCTCAGAGAGTGAAGTGTAGCTCAAGTGGTTAGAGCTCCCTTTTCGGTTCCAGGAGATCTTGAGATCGATCGATTCTCATTACCGGTCCTTGTGGCTCTCTAAACACACAAAAAAACAAAAACAAAAAAAAATGAAATTTTATATTATATCATGCATTTGATGAGGTTAACTAATTATTTCTTGTACTTCCTCCCTTTCTCATTACTAGGGGAGCCAACGCGTGCGATACGCGGTATGGCTAGCCAATGTCTTAAAATGATATTGGCTTGTCTTTACACCTTCAGTATGCGGTTGATTTAGTTACATGTATAAATCATTTTAGTAGTTTGTAGTCTTGTACATTGTACATAGTTACGAACATGAAATGATATATGAAATCTTAAGTACCTTTAAACTATTAAACTTCAGTGTAGTGAACCTTTAGAAAGAATAGAGCAAGTTTGATGTTCCCCTGCTAGAGTATGAGAAACAGCAAAGCATCTATAAAACGTCTCGCCTCAATAGATCAAAATGTATGATAACTGATATGATACAATTTACATATAGTGTAGTAAGAACATTACATAGTGTGCATGTATAATATGAAAGATTGATCACATGTTCTTTCTTTGTGGTAAATTGTATAAGAATAAAGCGCATAAACCAAAAGTATCATTTCACACTTGTAAATGAATTGAAATAACAAATTTTTATTCATCGTAAACAAATAAAACAAATGGGTTTTAAAACGAAATATGTAGCTTCCAAATGCGCTTTGATTAAAATAATAAATTGTACAAATGTATTTATAAAACATCTTTAATTCTAAAATCTAAATTAACTTTGCAATAACATGTTTACATTTGTTATAATTGTCGTGTACTTCATATTTGATAGATTTGAATTTCTTCATAGATGTCATGACTTTATATTTATAAATTAATTTTTTTATTAAATCATCAAAATATTAATATTCTTCAAGATAATATGATAGGTGTGTCGCGTACCTAACAAAAATAACCTAACTATTCCTCCTAACTATGTAGTCGGGCGAGTAAGGGTTGAATCCCAAGAGACTAAGGTTCACCTAAATTATCTAGACTCAAGTAATTACCAAGCAAGAATCAAACAATGGTGGAATAAACTAAAAGATAATGTATGGAAAACTTAGAATAAATCAAACGGATATAATAAATCAATAAATTAAAACATCCAAGATCAAGTATCACCACAATTATTATCGATGCAATTATATATCTACCCCTAACATACAATTCCAATTAACATGGGGAAAAGCAAACTCTAATCAATACCAAGGACCTCTCTCGAGTATCAATGGCTTCCCTAACCCACAATCAAGCCTATTCTCATGGTATCATGCAAATTAGAGACATGAAACACTTTACTTCACTTCCCAATTATCAATTCAACTACTCTCGTGATGAATTTCAAACCCTAAATTAATTTACTCAATTCCGTTAAAACCCAACTCTCGTTGTGATTGAAACTATGGAATAATAACAATACTAATTATCTCTAATCTAGTATTGGCATAATCACAATTAATTTAGCATAAACAATTGTAATAGTTATTAGAGAATTTAAAGAAATAAATCATGCATCAATCATAATTGGGCTACCCTAGATCTTGGACTAAGAAAACTACTCACACATATTGAAAGAAACAATAACAATAATAATCAAGGAAAACATAATTAAGAAACAAAAGATGAAAAGAAAATACCAAATTTTGAAATAAATGGAGAATGTCAAAGTAGAATTTGAATCTTGAATTACAAAAGCAATGTAAAAATAATAGAGAGAACTAGGTCTAATAATAAAAACTAGATGCTAATAAAATACTCCATAAAGAAATAATATAAAGTCTAGAGTATTTATACTCCTAAAAAGATAAGAAAACGCAACAAAAATATATCGCGCAGTCTTCCTAAGAGGCACGGACGTGCCTCACATCGAGTGTTAAACTTCAAGTCTTCTGGAATCCAGGCACGAACGTGCCTCATATGCAGATTCGAAGGTAGCAGCAGGCACGGACGTGCCTCTTAGAGACACGGACGTGTCTCACTTCGAATGAATTTCCCTCAGTTCTGAGGCTCAGGCACGGACGTGCCTAAGCTGGGCATGGGCGTGCCTCACTCCAAAAAGGCCTAAGTGACTCGTTCTTCGACCAATGAGCTTCGTGAAGGTCCGTGGGCCTCGGTTTAGCCTCATGACTTCATAAAATCTCTAAATTAGCTTCGTTAATCTTGAAATACATCAAAAACAAAGAAAATACCCATAAAAGTATCGAATCATCGAAACTAAACCAAATCAGACCAAAATGAACTAAAATACTCAGTAAAGCTAATAAGAACAACTAAAAAGAGGCTAACAATTATGCACAAAACACGGCTTATCATAATATTTGTTCAACATCACTTTTTTCAAATTGGGAACTTTTGAATTGTAATTAGAAAAAAAGGGTTAATGGTAGAAATTGGATTATACGAATAAATAATATATCTAGCAATCTTGATGAGCATATGAGAAAATATACAAAGTATAAAGTGCTGCAAGTTGGATATTTGGTATTCTACAATATTAAAACAATTATAATATTAAAACAATTTTAAAAAAGAAAATCAATCGTCAGTCCGCCACCATTATATTAGTAGGCATGTAAATTTGGTGACAATTTAACTCAAATTAAACAAAATCATAATAACTTAGACTTTCAATTACATAAATAAAGGGTAATTAAATGAGCATACTCAAGTAGTTAAGTGAAAACCCCCTTATTCCACAATTCATTGAGACCATCAAGATCAGAATAAGGAATCCTCTGTAAAACAAGCAGAGTAGAGAGCATAGAAAGTAAAAAAAAATGAACAAATAAAAGGTCACTTGTAGACGATATAATCACAAATAATTAAAACAATACCCATGTATAAAATCAATTACAATTGCAAAATTAAACCTGTATAAAATACCCATGTAGATCTAACCCAAATCACACCCAAAAAACTCAACAAGACAACAAATTCGTCAAATCATATTTTTTGCATTATTTGCCACATTCATTAATTCTCCTATGAACAATGGTAAGCTTCCGAATATGCCCAATCATTCCCATGTTTTACCCTACATGCATTTTAACATTAATTCATTAGTTGAAGTCATAGTTCCAAAAAAAAAAAAAAAAAAAGAAAAAAAAAGTTGAAGTCATAGATTAAATTTTTACTGTACAACATTTAATTAGCTTAAAAACATATATACTGACAATTATAAGGTTTCATGATTTTAATTGAAGAATGAAGTCAAAGAAAAGTGAGCCCCATAGTTTATACGAGTCTGTACTCTGTAGTACACCATAACATCCTCAACTATATTAAGACTTAATTGGGGAGCTCGTTGATGTATTGTGTCTCGTAACAACCATAGACCTAGCTCGCAAGATATAGGATGGGAAATCAGAGCAATATCACAAGCTTGGGAAAAAAATGACTTACAAGCAAGTAACATGAGCCTATCTATGGTAAATCCATCTTGATTGCTCGCGGGTTGTGGCTATTGAGAATTGCACCAACCACAAACAATAAGCTTGCCAATAAAAAGGGAATGTTGATACTCTCTTGCAATATTTCTATATACCCATCAGCTCTTTTGTAGATTTGACATGAATTGTGTATCTTGATTTGTTAAAATAACCATGATAATCAGATAAAAATTTAAACTAATGGAGTAAATAATCAAACCACGACTACATTGAAGCCATACCTATTCCTCTCAAATTGTTAAGCCACTCAATCAATCTGCAAAAAAAAAAAAAACACACACACATACATATATCAAATCATGTGACAATTTAAATTAACGATATACCCAAATTGTAAAATTGATATTCAATAATTTAGTCAAAAAATTAACGATATACCTAGATTGTCAAATTGATATTCAATAATTTAATTACCTCACCTTAGAAACTTCTTCAATGGAGGAGAGAAATCTCGGTAGGTGCTTTAATGGAGAACTAATAGTTTGTTTAAACAGAGGAGGAAGGGACGTTTAAGAGGAGAAAAGAGGAAAAGGTGGAAAGTATTCATATCGTTCTAGGGAAAACACATAGAGACAAACATATACTAATTAACATTAATGGGCATGGGTATATTAACATTTTAAGCGGTATATATGTCCTAACACTGTTCATAAGAGTTTTTTTTTTCCCACTTTTTATAAGGTAGGGATATGCGATAAGTTGACTTTTTTTAATGAATTCGATACAAAGCAAAGA